GGGGTTTTATCAGCATCCTATAAAACTACATGAAATGTCTCTTATGTGTACTTTCAGTGTCTGTAAAACAGATCAGATTGCTCATGCTGCCCACATCAGGAAAGGCTGGACACAATTTGCAGTTTGATTTTTGCTGTTTAGCAGCATTTCAATTGACATCCATCTGATCACCCCAACTATGTACCAAGAGCTCTCAGCATCTCTAGTGATAATGATTTCATTGATGCTGCGGTACAACTTTCATAATGGTTTACTATGGTTTTAAAGGCACATCAAAGCAACATGACACCAGCTACTCTTGACAGCTCATGCAGAACAAAAAGTATAGTTCAGTTGTGCATATACAAATATAATCTGCCTAAGGGTGAACAGTTTGTAAATCAAATAATTTGATTGAGCGTACATGCTTTTATGGTGCGGAAAACACCCTTCCTATTCAATTTATCAGGTTTTGTTATACATCTAGATAGGCAGGCTCCCTCCCTGTTCCTTCATCTGAGATACCAGTGAGCTGTGGATCTCATTAACAGTCGCGGGTAACTAACTAATCAAAAAAACAGAGAAGCTGCCAGCCCAGGTAGAATGGGAAACCAAATTTATACCTGATAAAAGAGGTAATTAGCTAGCTTAAAGACAACAGGAACTATCAGATGGGGCACAGAAAACATTAATAATTGATACACGAGAACTCTTTGTTATTCCTGTACAGGGTTTCATTTTTATAACTGTGAAAGTGCATTTTTTATTAGATTACCCACTAGAAAAGAAATTAAAAGCCTACACTGTTCCAAACTGCTCACTTTTTTGAAGACAGACTGAAAAGTTTTATCCATTTGCTAAATGAGCTGCAGCTTCGCATCAATTGCTCATAAAGAATCACTTGAACCACCTAGAGTCTCTCTCACACACTCACCATCATCATTGTCCTGCTTTAAATGTGTTATCATAAAGTCAATGGGATCATCCGGTTTATGGATCAACAACTTTTCAAGCATATTCTGAAAATAAACGGGATGGGTTCAGAAGAAAATTTAACACAGCTACAAAATGACAATAAGGATATTTTGAATTTTTATACTGAATTTTTACAGCAGCCTTTTATTTGAGGATCTTAAAGAGTTTACCAATATTACATCATTAAGCCCATATTCAGCCTATTTTAGAAAGGTGCAAACTGAAGTACAGGTAGGTTAAAGATGATTCGTCAAGAGAAATGGAATTAATTTGTGTTTGTTTTAGTCAATTTCTGGTGCATAACGATGGCCTGAAGCAAGATTTCTTTGGTAATATCTTTTCTTGGACCAACTTATCTCTGAAAGACATGTTAGACAGCCTCAGTCTAGGGCACAAAATGTTCTTCCTCAGATCTGTTAGGCAGCAGATGCAGTTAGAACAATTACTTGTATTTAACCTCACTGTCTAACATCTCTTCCAACGATAGACTTCGTCCAGTAAAAGTTATCACCAAACAAGTCTCATGTCTTGGTTTTTCCCTGGCCCGTCTTGTCTAAAACAACACTACTTTACTAGAACCAGGAAAAGCATCAAGAACTCCTAACTGCCAGGTAATTTACTGTAATCCCATTAATTTCCATGGGACAACTCACGTGTTCTCAGCATGTCTGTGACGTGCAAGCTGCAGCTTTTCTTGGAAGAACAAACTTTATACACTATTCCTACTGAATAGATTTTGAAAGTGTTTGTAGAGAATAATAAAGAACAGAGGCAGAGAGAGAAAAAAAGGACATAGGCAACAGAAAAAGGGTAGGTGTACCAAAGCTAAGAAGGGAGCTGGAAAGACTTCACCACACACAAATTGAAGATGTGAGAAATGTTAATATTGATGCGTGTGCACTTATGGACAAAGCAGTCTAAGAGTGATGCTGTGGCTGTGATGGGCCGGAAATTATGCAAGAGGCAAGGATTTCTTAGGGTGATATCTTTTACGGGACCAACTATGTAGCTGGGATAGAGTTAGACATGCTTTCAAATGCAAGATATGCTTTGTCAGGTTTGTCCAGGTTTATGGACAGTAATTCTAACAAGCTATAATGATGTTCAACGCAATCTGAGAACTCAACCAACTTCTCCATGCTGAAGTGAAACAACTAAATTAAACTTAAGGACCAGACTGTTGCCTCCCTTCCTTCCTTCTATAGATAATTCCGCCCCCGCCAAAAAAATAACATAATGCAATTAAATTCTGGTGATGAGTGTACTTTTACAATCTATAGTTTGTCTAGCTTCCTTGAGGGCAATGTCCCTGCTAAGTTATCCACAGTAACAGCACAATGATAACAGATCAAAATAAGTAGGATGACAAGACAAACTCCACGGGAGAGACAAAAGAAGGGTGCTTTATTTTTTGGTATGAAATGTTGTGAGTTCTTACAAGATGCTTCTTGCAGACACGCACAGTGTTCCACATTGACGATAATAAGGAAGTACCAAAGGTACCAGTCGGCAATTGGGAAACAACCACCCCTCCTGAAAGACGCTCTAGCACAGCATTTCTCAACCCGTGGGTCACGACCCAAAAGTGGGCTGCAAGAGTATATGAAAGGGTTGCGAACAAACTTTAAAAATGCGGAAAAACATAATCGAGACCTTTAATGGAGAAAAAAGTGGGAAACTGGGGCTTTTCCCTTGCAGGTTGGCAGAGCTCCAGCCTGCAAGGGGCTGCTTGGGGGCCCCCCACACACCCGCCTCTTTCCCCACATACCGGGGGGCTGGGCGTGGGGGGCAGCGGGTTGGGAGTGAGGGGCACCGGGGCAGAACCAGCCATCAATGTTTACAAACAGGGCCTGATACAGACACGGTTGAGAACCGCTGGTCTGGCAAACCCTGTGGCCGTCCTGTCACCAGAACTCCAGCACATGCTTCCCAGTCCCGCCCCGCTGCCGCTTCAAGTGCACGCTGGGGCTGGGCTCGCTCTCCCCGCCGTGCACCGGGGCACTGCGCCGCACGCCAGGAACACGCGTCCCACGCCGGCTGGGAGCGGTGACTGCGCCCCCCTGTATGTGAACAGGAAGGCAGTTCACCGCGTTAGTCTAAAAGCCTCCCTTCCTTCCTTCCTTCTACAGATAATCCCCCCCAAATAACATAATGCAATTAAATTCTGGTGAGAAGTGTACTTTTACAATCGATACCCTGCCTTCTGCCTGACACATCTGCACGTGTGTGTGTTTCTATACACACGCACAGTATATACGGATACACGAATGACACGCGCGCAGTATAGATACACAAACACGCACACAATATACACATGCAATGTACATGACACATGCACGCACACCCCGCACACTTTGCACACGTCATATATATGTGCACACATGTGTACACACACATATAGAGGCCAGCACTGCTCCCCCAGTGCATGCCGGGAGCCCCCCGGCCCAGCGCCCCGGTGCATGCCGGGAGCGCCCCCCTCCCCTGGGGCGCGGACCCGGTGTGTGGGGCACGGGCCGGGGGAGGCCGGGCCGTCGCCGCCCCCCGCCCGCCCGGCACCTGCAGCAGCTGGAAGAGCCCGTGCTTCTCGGCGTAGGGGCCCATCTCCGGGGGCACCCGCAGCGGCCGGGAGGTGGCGTCCATGGCGCCCTTAGCAAACGCTCGTCGC